AGGACCTGCAGCCTGACCCCCAAAAGACCCATGGAGGAGAGACCCCCTGCCTGGGCTCCAATACCATCTCATCACCATCAGCACAGCCCTGACCAGACAGACAGACGCACAGCTCACATCAGATCCCGTCAGCACACGACTCAACCTAGATTTCCCATGCAGACTCATTAACATCCATATCACAAGCTTGATACTGTCAGCACACGCTCAGCCCTCCCAGACCTGAAGACACACACACACAGCTCACACTCACTACCATCAACACACAGTGTGGATCTCCTATACGGAATCATTAACATACAGAGCACACATTCAACGCCGTCAGCACATGCTTGACCTAGGTTCCCCACACAAAGGTGTAAGCAGGAGGCACCCCTACGGGGAACCTTTACAACAGCCAGAAGCATTCTGGCTGACACTGAGCACACACCCCAGCCAAGGGCAACACCACCAGCAGGTCATTCCCAGGAACAGGCACACAGTAAATGAGTTTGCACATGTGAGCACACATTCATGTATGCCCAGGCATGCAAGAGCTGCACATCCTGCTGAGAGACGCCTGGGTTTTCCTTCCTCGTCTCCCCACTGCCTGTCTGAGTCTCTGGTTTCCTCCTGTGTGTCTCCTCGATCACTGTTAGGCTAGGCCAGGCCAGGCCAGGCTCCCCCTTTTTTAAACTTTATCTATTAAATATATTATCCGGATAATATATATTCCTTATAGGCCTGGAATTAGAGTTACAGACAGCTGTGAGCCACTGTGTGGGTGCTGGGAACCGAACCTGGTCTCCCTGGAAGTGCAGCCAGCGCTCTTAACCAGCGAGCCATCCTTCCGGCCCCAAGAACCTGTATGTTCTTAATGCTTCCCACCTACTCACCTCCTCTCTCCCCAGGGCTTCACACAAACACATGCACGCATACACATCTACACACTGTGCACACTCGTGGGGGAGCCCTACGGAACAGTCTTATCCCCCAGAGAGAGGTATCAGCACTTTGGGTAGCTGCGAGGCACGGGGTGGGACTTCAGCAGGGTGACCACTCTAACCCGAGAACACGGCTTCCTGGTTCCTTGCGTAGGGCCGCCAGCAGCTCCAGTGCGTGTGCGCTTGCTACTTGTTGGCAGCTCCAGGGCATGCCGTGCTGTTCTTTGCACGTACAACCTTTCCTGCCCAGAGTGTCTTCCAGCTCCCGCTGCCAGTGGTTCTCAGCTCTGAAGTTCATGAACTGCTTAAAAACTTCAAGGAAAAGTTTGGATGCTGACAGCCAAGTAGACAAATTCCCCTTTTGTTGGTAAGGGTGTTTACCACACAGAAACCCTCCTCCACCCACAGCCACTTTCTGGAAAAGATGCTTTGATGCCAACAACACAGGAAAGACAATCTCCAGGTAAATGGAACCCTTTACATTAAACACTGTGTGCTTTAGGCAAAACCCATTGCAGGCCCTTTCCCTCATTTGGCTCCATGAACTGTGAAAACCACCAAGTCCAAATGCACTGATTCCCACTATGCTTCCTCCAGGAAGCCTGCCTCTTGGGTCACAGCCACACTCTCCCGGCACGGGTCTCCTTGTCTGGGAGACTGAACCACGCATTGCACACGCAGACTCGGCCATTGTTCCCCTCGAGGGCCTGCCCAGCTAAGCGCTGCCAGGTGCTTAACACGGATTATCCCATTTTATCCTCATAAGCCTGAAAGGTGAACGTTTTACAGATGGGAAACTCTTAAGTGGCTTCCTCAAATCCTGTGCCCTCTGCTGGAGACATGGACAGGGTAGTGGTGGAAGGCACTAGAGACAAGTCTCGCTGCTGCTCTGGGCTCCCCTTTGGGCTGTATGACCAGTCTAAGCCTCGGTTTTCTTTTTTTTTCTTTTTCTCTCTCTCTCTCTTTTTAACTTTTATTAATTACACTTTATTCACTTTGTATCACCCCATAAGCCCCTCCTTCCTTCCCTCCCAACTCTACCCTCCCTCCCCCTTCTTCATGCATGCCCCTCCCTAAGTCTACTGATAGGGGAGGTCCTCCTCTCCTTCCTTCTGATCTTAGTCTATCCGATCTCATCAGGAGTGGCTGCATTGTCATCTTCTGTGGCCTGGTAAGGCTGCTCCCCCCCTCAGGGGGAGATGATCAAAGAGCAGACCAATCAGATTATGTCAGAGGCAGTCCCTCTTCCCTTTACTATGGAACCCACTTGGACACTAAACTGCCATGGGCTACATCTGTGCAGAGTTTGTTTTAGGTTATCTCCATGCATGGTACTTGGTTGGAGTATGAGTCTCTGGGAAGACCCCTGTGTTCAAATTTTCTGGTTCTGTTGTTCTCCTTGTGGAGTTCCTGTCCTCTCCAGATCTTACTATTTCCCACTTCTTACATAAGATTCCATGCACTCTGCCCAATAGTTGGCCATAAGTCTCAGCATCTGCTTTGTCTGCAGGGCAGACAAAGTCTGCAGGGCAGAGCCTTTCAGAGGCCCTCTGTGGCAGATTCCTAGGTTGTTTCCTGTTTTCTTCTTCTTCTGATGTCCATCCTCTTTGCTTTTCGATATGGGAATTAAGCATTTTAGTCAGGGTCCTCTCTCTTGATTAGTTTCTTTAAAGGTACAGATTTTAGTAGGTTTATCCTATATTACATGTCAAAACAAAACGACTGCCTACAGATTGGGAAAGAATCTTCACCAACCCTTTATCTGACAGAGGGTTAATATCCAGTATATATAAAGAACTAAAGAAGCTGAAAAGCAGCAAACCAAGTAATCCACTTAAAAAATGGGGAACAGAGCTAAACAGAAAATTCTCTGTAGAAGAATATCGAATGGCAGAGAAACACTTAAAGAAATGTTCAATGTCATTAGCCATTAGGGAAATGCAAATCAAAACGACCCTGAGATTTCACCTTACACCCATCAGAATGGCCAAGATGAAAAACTCAAGTGACAACACATGCTGGAGAGGTTGTGGAGAAAGGGGAACCTTCCTCCACTGCTGGTGGGAATGTAAACTTGTACAATCACTCTGGAAATCAATCTGGCGCTTTCTCAGACAACTAGGAATAGCGCTTCCTCAAGACCCAGCCATACCACTCCTAGGCATATATCCAAAAGAGGCTCAAGTACACAATAAGGACATTTGTTCAACCATGTTTGTAGCAGCTTTATTTGTAATCACCAGAAGCTGTAAACAGCCCAGATGCCCCTCAACTGAAGAATGGATGCAGAAATTGTGGTACATCTATACAATGGAATATTACTCAGCAATGAAAAATAAGGAAATCATGAAATTTGCAGGTAAATGGTGGGACCTGGAAAGGATCATCCTGAATGAGCTGTCCCAGAAGCAGAAAGACACACACGGTATATACTCACTCATATAGCCTCGGTTTTCTTATGCATGGACGAGGAATGGTAACACTCCCTTTAGAGTGCTGACCTGGGGCGGTGAGAGTAAGTCCTCTGAGACAGTGGGGGCCAGCTTCTCTCCTGCATGCCCTATCTCTCCTCCCTACCCCCGCATCCTTGCGGCTTTCCCTATACCTTACCCTTAGGATTATATCTTAACCCATCCTTCCCAGGTCCTGTGCTGAACTCTACTGCTTTCCTCCCTTCCCAAAGTGAGAGTGGCCCAAGATCCCTTCTTGGTCCTCTCCTCTCTAGTCTCATCCAGTCTTTCGATATTATCTGCACACTGACTTCAAAATCTGAGCCTCCAGCCCCATCTCTTCCTACAATCCAGATCCATCCCGTTCACTTGCCTATCAGGAGGCTTCTTGTACGGCCTTATGGGTCTCCTCTTCTCACCCGAGCCCTTTCCTGAGCCGGCTCTCTTCTCTCAGTAGTTCATACCTTCATTCCCTGATCACCCAAGCCAAAATAACATTTGGTTCCTCTTTCTCTCACGCCTCACTTTGAACCATCAGCAAAGCTCACCACTTCTACTTCTAAATTATTTTTTTAAAAAATCCTCCTATCTTCTCCACCTCCACCACTGTCCCTGGGTCTGAGGTCCCTGCCACCTCTTAGCTGGTCCATGCCTATAACATCCCAACTGGTCTCTACACCTACTTTATGGTTTTAAATTATGATGGGGTGGGGGTGGGGAGGAATAAAACCTTATCTCTGTGGCTTTCTTAATTCAACTCCAGAAATGTGAGCTTTATGTGCTTGTTATAGGTCTGTCCGTGTGATTTCATGTATGATGTCATTGTCATCAGTTCAGCCGATAGGGCTACGGAACTTCATGGTTGCTATGAAATCACATATTATTCATTTGCAGACGCTTGTGTTTTGCTTTTGTGATGGCATCTCAACAAGTTGCCCAGGCTGATCTCAAATTCACAGTTTCAGGTGGTCCTCCTGCCTCAGCAGCCTCAGGCACGGGGTCCAGAGGTGTGCACGTGCCTGGGCACAGCCTTGCTGACGGTGAGAGTGAGCCACAGAGTCCCTGATCTTTGCAGAGCACGAGGCGGTTTTCAGGACACACAGCTAGTCAACTCACGGCATTAGGAGATGTGAGGTTGGTAAGCGGGTGTTCACCACTGCTCTCTCCCTTCAAATGAAACAATAACTTTTGAAAAGCCATCTCTGGATGGGGTGGTGTGGGGCCTTTAGCCTTACCATTTTCATAATTTTACCTGATTCCTTCGCATGTTTGTATGATTTTAGAATGAGTCTGTCATTTTAGCAGCAGCAGCAATAACAACAGCAAGGGCTGCTGGGTCACAGATTCCTGCAGACTGCGGAGTCTGCAGCTCTATCTAGGCAGGGCGGACACCTTAGCGATAGTGACTCTCCCGGCTCCCGAGGGTGGTCTTCTGGTTGCTTTATGTCTTCTCCATTTCAGCAGTGTTTCTAATTTTCTGCGCAGAGATCGCACGTGTTTTTGCTAAGTCCATCTCAAAGTACTTACTGTTTTTAACGTTATTTTAGTAAGCTTTGAAGTTTTACTTTTTCCACTGCTTCCTGGTAAAATAGAAAATACAGTTGACTTAAAAAAAAAAAAAAGATTTACCCCCTGACAATGGGCAAAGAGACACCTTGTTGGTGGTGTTCTTATATCGGCCACGGGAAGAGCAGATGGCAGCCCTCTGTTCATCCTAGCCTGGTGCCCGGCATGGGGGCCAAAACTGTTTTGTGCCTAGGACACATAAAAATCAGATCAGACCAAATCAAATCCAGGCAGCATGGCGCAGGAAGAGGAAGACAGAAGCCTGGGTTCTGCCATGACACCTACAGACCCGCCCTCCAGGGCATGGCGCAGGCAAGCTGTAGATACCCGCTTGAGCTGTAGATACCTGCTTGCTGCCTCTCAATGCAGACTGAGGGTTATCACCCAGGGGCCCACCACCTGTGGGGCCAGCCTGCAGCTGGAGCCAGCACGATGTGCAAATGAAGGGTAAGCAGATGGGAGAGAAAGAGAAGGGGAGCAGCTTGAGCATCGTGAAGAGAGATGCAACTGGAGAGTCGAGGGTAGAAGGGTACACAGGAGAAGCCTGTTGTGAGCAGCCAGCCCTGCCACCTGGGGGGGGTGCTGAAGTCCCAGCCTGAGTTGCCAGTAAGGGCCATAACCGGGTCCATGGCTATATAGCAACAGAGGTTGGTGTGGATGTCTGTGGCTTATATTACTGATAAAGCACATGGGATGTTCCTGGTTGAGGCAGCAGCCAGGGGAAGCATGGCTGTCCAGGGACTGTGTAGGACTGGCTCTGCGCCTCCTTGGCTGCGGATGCAAGCTCTCACCTACAGCAGCACTCTGGAGAGCAGGCCCTGTACCTTGTCTAGACAGCACAGCAGAGCCGACCCTGGTGGAGGGGGTGTAAGTGAGCCAGCCCCAAGGGCGAGGGCGCTGGAGAGCTGGCCCCGCCACTTATCTGCCATGAGGCGGCCAGGGTGCAAGGCTGATGGCCTCCCCTTCCTTGCCCCTCGCCATTTACCACAGTCAGGAGAGCAGGCCCCAGGGTCATGAGAATAGGTAGCTGACCCTCCCCCTCACCCACTGCAGCACTCAGGAGAGCAGGCCCTGCACCTCACCTGAGCAGCACAACAGGGCTGGCCCTAGTCAAGAGAGCACTAGTGAGCGAACCCTGAGGACAAGAGCAAGGAAGAACTGGCCCCACCACTTGCCCCTTGTCTGCTGTGAGGCGGTATGAATGTGGGAGTGATACCCTCCCACTTTACCGCCTGTGGCGGTCAGGAGAGTTGGCTCAGAGGGCATGAGAGTAGGAGAGCTATCCCTGCCCCTCACTGGCTGTAGCACTCGGGAGAGAGAGCCCTGTACCTCACCTGGGCAATACAGTGGAGCTGGCCCTGATGGCCAGTCAGCTCCAAGGGTATGAGAGGATGAAGCAGTTGGGAAACCAAAACCTTGACTGGGCACTGGGCAGCACAGTGAACCTAGCCCTGGAAGCATGGGTACAGGTGAGCCAGCCCAGAGGGCACAAGAGCAGGATAGCTGACCCTGCTTCTTGCCAGTGGTGGCATTGGGTGGCCTAGCTGAGCAGTGCTGGAGAGCTCGCCCTGGTGGTGTGGATAAGGGAGAGCCAGCACTCTGACTAGGTCAGCTACCACCCACTCTCAGATCCAGGGCTCTGAGCTGGCCCACCCCAAAATCAACATCATCTGTGGACTGTTGGGACACATGATTCTGTCGACCCTGATGATCCAAAGCTGCAGGATCGCCATGACACACGCAGGGCAACAACAGGGTAACTGGGAGGAGCTGCAGCGAGGAGCCAATATCGATGGTGTCACAGAGGCCGGAGACCTCGAACCTGACCAAGGACGCACTGCAATGAATATTTTCAAGTAAAGATGTGTCAACAAAGGGACACACTGTGGGACACGCTGTGACATACCACAGCTTCCACAGCGAGATGTTTCTCCATGGTTTTCGTTTGTGTGTGTGTGTGTGTGTGTGTGTGTGTGTGTGTGTGTGTGTGTGT